ATCTATTCCTGGATACCAAAATGAGTCCTTCTAACTCTCCTAGAAGGTAAGTCTTTATGCTGATATCAGTTCTGGCTTCTGATTGGGAAGGATAGGCCTGATGGGAGCCTTCCCTCGGGTTGAGAAAAATAAGACTGACAAAGAGCTTTCCCTTTGTCCTCTAGCACCAGGATGCCAATGACTGAGGACTCTGGTTCAGTTTCTGGTTTCAGTTTGGAAAGGATAGGCCTAACAGGGAGCCCTTCCCTTGGAATTTGGTTTTCTGGTTCTACCTCTCTTGAGAAATTGGGATTTGGGTTTTATTTGAATGCATAGCTGGCTGAACTGTTCCCTCATTCAGGATTATTGTTTCCAGTTCTACCCATTTACCTGCAAATTTTGGAATTTCACTTTTCTCAACATCTAAATAATATTACATTGTGTAATGTACCACTTTTTCATTATCCATTCATCAGCTGATGGACATCTAAGTTATTTTCATTTCCTGTCTATTGTGAATAGAGCAGCAATGAGCATGGATGAGCAGGTATCTCTATAGTAGCAGACAGAGTCCTTTGGGTATATACCCAAGAGTGGAATAGCTGGATCATGTGATAAAACTATTTCTAGCTTTGTGAGGAACCTCCCCACTGATTTCCATAATGGCTGCACCAGTTTGCACTCCCACCATCAGGGAACAAGTGATCCCCTTTCCCATAACCTTGGTCATGCTCACTGTGCCACCTGCACAGACAGAATTTGGGGAGTTGGATGCCTAGGGTATCAGTACATCGACTGCAAAATCTTTGTTCATAAGAATTGTCACAAACTTGATACAATTGAAGGTAAGCATTCTTTTTCACCAGAAGCATTCTTTTTCACCAGAACCAGATCAGGCACAGACAAGAATTTCATATAATCTTCCAAGACAGGAAAATTTGGACCAGTTGGTGAAGAAAAGGAGTCAATATGCTCCAGGGAATGTGGCAAAGTTGATCCAGTTGGGGTCTCCAGGATTTTCATTTGCCCTTGGTAATGTGGAGAGGAAGTTATGCCAAAATACCATTGATTATATTTAAGAAAAAAAAAAAAAAAACCAGGTCATAGTGCCAGGTGTAGTGACACATGCCTTTAATTCGAGCTCTCAGGAGGCAGAGGAGACAAATCTCTGTTAGTTCAAGGTCAGTTTCTTCTACATAGCAAGTCCCAGGCCAGCCATGGTTACATAGGGAAACCTGTCTAAACATGCACACACACAGAAGAGAGAGAGAGAGAGAGAGAGAGAGAGAGAGAGAGAGAGAGAGAGAGCGATCTCTTCCAAATTATTTTAGGAAACCAAATGAAGAAACCACATCTCCATCTGTAAAAGCAGCAGGGGCACCACAGGCAGGGTGCTGCACATCTGCAATCCTAGTCCTGGGGTGAGAAAGCATTGATCAGGATTTCAAGGCCACCCTTGGTCTCGTGGTTAATTCAAGGCCAACCTGGGCTACATGAGATCCTGTTTCAAAAAAAAATAAAGTAAAAAAGCAGCCAGGTTGCTGAAGCTTTCTTTTTCTTTTTTCTTTTGGTTTTTCTGTTTGTTTGTTTGTTTGTTTGTTTGTTTGTTTGTTTGTTCTTTTTTAACTTCCCAGACTGTGATTTTATCTCTGTAAGTTCAACTTGGTATTTTACATTTTCCGTGGGGCACAGGTGAAGGCACACGGGCTGTAGAAGCATAGTTGAAAAAATACTGGAAAACCTCTTGGAAACCTTTTGGTGCTTGAGAACGGGAAAGAGCCAACATCAAGACCTAGGAGCCTAAGAGCACATGTGGAGTTAAGACCCTAGCTGGCCATCAAGAGAGATGGGAAGTACATCCTAAAGAATCAATCCTCCCAAGACTAAAAACCTCAAATGACAGAAACTCCCCTGTCCTCAGCATAAGTCCAACACAGAGGCAAAGCCACTGCTGTGCACAACCTGGGACTTCAAGGGAGGGGCCTGTGGGGAGTGCAGTCACTCAGAGAAGGCTGAAACTCCTGCCCAACATTAGGAAGTCTTCCATGCTCCAATCTGTTCCACCATCAGCTCACCACCACAGGAATGTGGAAACATGGCTCATGATTAGGGACCATAATTCCAGGTTCATGAGAGGGGACTACAGCTCCAGTTCATGGGAGGGGAACCCACCTCTGGGTACATGGAAGGGGACCACAGCTCCAGTTAAATTGGGTTATTATCCTCAAACAGGATTTACTGATATTCAGGGGCACTCATTTTTGTGAAATGTCTTTGGGCTATGATGGAGCTGAAGCAGGTAGTTCCTCCCTTTAAATCAGATACTTCTCATGAATTTGGTAGGTACAGTTTTGATTCTCAATTTCCTAATGAACTGCTCAGCTCACTCCAGACAACTGAGGAAGATTCAGTCAGTCTGAACTTGGAGGTTTTCATGTATCAATCATCAATTGGTAGCTGCAGAAGAATGTATCTGCTGCTCGTTTTTCAACTCTGTGCTGGGCTCCTTGGCATTAATGCATGGATAAACTTACCAGCCTGGATACAGTTAACTATTTTTATATTTGCCACCTACCAAAAAACCTACTCAGTATCTGCTGTTATAGCTGTTATACACTACAAGAATTATTTCATCTAAATATAACTGTGAAAAAGAAATTAAAAATAGCTTCCAGGTAATCATGTCAAAATTTAGCCACACTGGCTCTTCAGAGGCCTAGTGATGAGTAATGAAATTTTCTTTTTTGTTTAATTAAGGTGGTGTGGGAAGGGGGGGGGCATTACAGGTGTTTAGTGTGTCAGCTTTCTGTAATTTCTTATTGGTACAGATATGTTAGTATTCTGCTTTGAGACATCAATTTTGTGAGGGTTCTCAAAACAGATGGTGTGTTTAAGTTACAGTAATGAAGACGACTTAATAGACAATTTTAGTAAATTCTATCATTCTCTAACACTTGAATAAGGATTCTGAGGGAGAAAATCGATTGACAGTTCAACCCAGCCCTAAAGCCCGATAACCATAATGACTGGCACAGCAAACTATCTCTATTGGTGCAGTAGTGGTAGGGTTCTCTGGGGAGGAGAGGGGTTTAATTAACAACTATCTAATTGAATTTAAAGCCCTCTCAATGGGAGTGAACTCATGGATGGCACTGTAATTATAGCCAAATATACATGGCTGGAGAGGTCATAGCTCTTAGAGAAAACCTTATCTCTGTCATATCTCCAGACAAATGAAATTTCTTACCATATGCTAAATATGGATTCTTATACTTACAGACAAGTATAACATATACCGCTCATCAAAGAAGCTTCTTTTTGCAAAAGGTAGAAGCTACTACAGAATCCACAACTAGTCACACACAGAATACATGTCTGAGAGATGCCCAGCCCTAAGTGACACATCTACAGTGAAAACTATACACCTAAGGCTCATGAAATACAGTGTAACGGGGTGGAGAGAACACTAGTGCATCCTCAACTCTCACCAGCAAAGCTTTCTTATACACAAAGTGCAATACACACAGAATGCCACAGCTGGCAGAGTGTTAGAGAATAAGAGACTGCAGAGTGTGTGTGTCCCTGGATAGGACTCCTGTATTAAACCC